GACAACTCATTGCCAAGAATGCGGTGAAAATTATTACCTCGTTTGCGCTGCGAACGATATGCGATTATCGAGATAGACGTCAATCTGAAATAAATGTGTGTACAGTCATATAAATTCGTTGTTATATAAATCGTGAAATCCGTTCCAGTCGAAACTGGTTACAATCAATATAACGTGTTACTATTTCGATGTTAATATATGCATATTTCTGAAACTCTAAAATGATGTTAAAAATTAATGAATTACGACTGGCAATCCAATTTCCTGTCAATACACAGATCGTAGATTGTCGAGGAAATTGCATCTTGAAATCTTGATCTCGTTAATCTGATTTGATTTCAACTATACATAAATATATTTCTCCGACAAATTATAATAATTATTGTCATTGAAGAGGGAAAAAAAATTCTCATATCTATTATATAATGCAATAGACGTCATGCTAGAATTTAATGCGAGATTAATACTTTGCGTCATGCGTGCGGTGTGCTGTATCCATTGATTGAAACAACAAATTTTTCCGGCAGAGTCGTTAATGCGAAATTTTATTGAATACGATCGCCTTGACAAATCGTAAAGCTGTTTTCTGGAGGAGTATGAAGAATGATTATCGTATGTGCATGTCGCATGTGTGAATTTGCATAGCACTATTACACGTGACGTACAACATGCATGTATATATATATATATATATATATATATATATATATATATATATATATATAACCTGTTCTAGTTTACATAGATAGGAGGATATGTACATTTTATATAATGCGAAAAGCACAAAAGAACAAACACTTTTATTTCTCTCTTTAGAAGATTCGTTTCATGTACGTTTGATTAAACATATATGTCGATTAAATTACACATCGTACACAGTGTGTAGCATAAAATTTATTTATTTTATTATACAAATATTAAAAGTTATACCGTACCGTACATTATAGTCATGTTGTAATATTATGCACATGATTATATTAATTTAAAAAATATTACAAGCGTCCCTATATAACTCTTAAATTCTTTTCTACAAAGTTAGATAAATATTGCAGATACAGATGTTCAATGTTAACGGAACAAGGACTCTATCTCGTCGCAAATTTTTTGCCATACATACGATCGGATGTCTTATGCGACCGGAATTAATTAAAGCCGTTCTAACATTATCTCGCATGCTTGCGGTACTTAATTGTATGCAATTATAATCTTCTTTCGTTACGCAATCGCAGACGCAATTGCTTCCTGTCGTTGCAATTCGTTCCGCTCACTGTTGAATGAATCGTTGATAATTTTAGTTTGCGGGCGTAATACTATTTAACTGACCGATATCAATAATTTCTCTTTGCGAGGGAAAAGCGGCGCACAATTTGTAATTGAGGAAAAATTCCGAGACCACCCAGAGACCAATTAGGAAGAATCCATCGCAAATTTTAACGATATTTCCTTATTACACAATTCTACCAATTTTTATAATATTCTTATCAAATACTTGCGATTAATTAATGTGAAAATAATTTGAATAATGAACTTCGAATAATGAACATTGATTCTCTTTAATTATAGTTGGAATTGTAGGTACGTATGGTATAATATATGTCTTTTGCAAATACGACACAAAAAAAAGTCCTGATTGTCCTGATTTTTATCGGACTTCATAATATTCTTAAATTAACGATCTTTCGCACGACATTCGTTGCGCATGCATGATCGAGAATCGAGCCATTCGCACGCGTCTACGGCCAAGGCTGTTTCGGTCGTAACGTGATTCTTTAAAGACGATTCGTTTACGTTGCATATACATTGCGATATATGACGTGCATAACGAGAGCGACAAAACGGGTGTCCATTAACGACTGGTGACATTTAACGAGGTAGCCGCTTTTTAACGAGCGACCTCTTCCAATTTATGAGAAATTGGATGCGCGTTGTGGCATAATTCACGAAATCGACATAGGAATGCCGAAATAAAAGGCCACCCGTTGCAGTCATTCCGATTCTTTATCGCCAGTTAATCTATCAATTGGCCAAATAACCATTTATGGATCGTATTTTCTACTATGTTTTGCTATATCGAACGCGATTTGCGATAGGTTCATGCGTTGTAATATTACGGAATTCAAGTTATTTTGTTTTTATAAATATAAGATATAAATAAAAGGCCTTGAAATAATAATATAAATTTAAAGATTCAATAATCATCGAATTGATATCAAAGTTCTTTTACGATTTGAATTTTCGTATCTTATTATATTTTATTTTTCATTAAAGTTGTAGACAGCATATACTATTTTAAGGGCGTTACGTAACAACATTATTTCTAGAGTTTTATTTTTTAATAGTTAATTTTTTTTTAATAGTTAATTTTTTATTTAATAAAACTTGAATTATTTTACGTGCATTATTTATAGTGAAAACTCGCTTAAAAAATGTGCTGCAGAGTTAAATGCCAAACTAGGAATGTTTGTGCATACGTTATCTTGGCGCTCACATTACAGAAGCAATTTACTTTGATCGCGTATCGCATACGTTATACATTATAGTCCCTTCACCGATTATGCCTCCCTTTCGACGCGCATCAGTTTCATTGACCACAACGGCGATCGATGTTGTCTCTGTCATCCATTTACTCGCTTCTCATCTTCCTCGCTCGAACCATTCATCTTCACCGTCGTGTATCGGAATTGCCTCTTCCGCGTACGCGTTCTTCGAAGCCTACAGGGTCTTTCATCTTATCATTCTTCTAAGAATATAATTTTTTAACATATTAAAGTATCAGTAGCAAAACTTCTCAATAGTGAACGTAATTCAAATTTTTTAAATTTAATTCTGTTACTTAAAATTAATGCTGTTTTCCTTTTAGAACATTATTTAATTTTCAATATTAAATACATTAAAGTTCGCAAAACTAAATTTTAAATAAGAATCTTAATTAGAATTTTTTTCATATTAATGGCAACGTTATCTTTAATTTTTAATTAAGTTCATTTTCGAATTAAATGTAAGCGTCGGCATCAAAGTAATCGTAATCTTAGTTTGAATTTTAACATATTTGGAAAGTGCATGACTTCCAGAATACCCTGTACACTTGTCGGTATATTCAGGCCATTATACAATTAACGTGTTTCTCGCTCGCAGCTATGGCGTATGGCTTTTGTCGGTTCGCTCGCGTCAAAGTGCATCCGACCGAGAAGTAATTCGATTCATCTCCCGTTGGTTGACGGCCACAGTCGGCGTCGAAACGTTGTTCCGCAAACCAGCACAGAACTCGCCTATTATTGTTTACGTAATGTTTATGTAACATCACACACATACACGCTGTATCAGCAGTCGTGATGCACGTGCATCGGCGCAGATCGGCGAAGCGAGTCCACCTCGAGACTCGTATCTTGCGGAGCTATGACAGATTTTAATTTTTTCACCGTTTTACCGAAAATGTTCTCCGAATTACCTCACACACAACCCTAGCGAATATCGAAGATTATGTGAGGTAATTAGAAGCTTAAAAGATTGTAATATTTTATAAAATCCTTTTTTATCGATCTCTTTGTAAATAAATTTCCCAAGTGTAAAAATGATGTAAAAATATGAATCTTAGTTCTGAAAGTATGTCTAACTATTTTTTTTACGTTCACACAGGGGAAAATTCGGAAAATAAAAAATAAAAATCGACCGTTTATATGTAACTAATTCGGTTAGCTAGGAAAAATATAATGTATAGGAAAAATGTATTATATAACAATCAATGATTGCCAGGAAAATCTTAAATCTTAATCTTCTTGCGAATGAATGCAGCGCGCGTTCATTCAATACATCTTATTCTTTCTTGTGAAACCGCACTTCCTATCGCGCAATCACTACAACTTTGCGCAATCTTTAATTTACACAAAGATACGTTTTAGAGATAATTGCATGAAAAAATTGCTGCTGTTGTTTCCACTGAATCGGCCGAGACTTATCGTTATGAATCACGTCGTGCTTTGTTTTATCGACCGGTCGAACCGATATTCGGTACTTAAATCCATATTACATTTCGCGACGAACAATCGCTTATCGCGATGTTTCCGAGGCAGGAATATTATTGCGCGTGTTATGGAACGGACGTGGGAAGAAGGAGCGGTGAGCGGTAAATGTCCGGCAAAAAGAAAGAGAAAGAAAAAGAAAGCGAGAAAAGGATTCGATGGTGGCAGCCACGTCGACGCGTGAATTATTCTCTCGAGGAGCCCGTGAATAACGTTATACGATCGATATATCGCGCGCTGAAGACAACGAGTCTTTAAGGCATGAAAAGGTGATTTAACGAATGACGTCGATCGACGCCCTAGGAATTATTAACGACGCGCACACTTTTCGTTCCGGGTTCCATCGGCTTCCTTTGAATTCCTTCCCGTCTCGTTTCCGTTCCCGTTGTGAAGAACGATCATTTGCATCGATCGTAAGATTCCCGTCCCGGGGAAAAATTGCATTAACCACTGAGCGATTCCTGGTAATGTTGTCGCACGGGGGTGACGACGAGTTCGCTTTATCACCGAATACCCTCGTAAAAGCACGTCGTCCCGCATAGATTGCATAATGTAATTTTTTTTTCATTTATAATGGTACGGTTGAGATCCGTAAGATATGTAATGATAATAAATCATATCGATCTCTCTTGAGGAGATCGCTCCCTGGTTTTTCTATCAATAATAGATTTAATTTTTTTACTGATTTTATTATTTTATTATTTCTCTGATGATTATTTCTCTGATTTCTCTGTGATTTTATTATTTCTCTTTCTCTCACTTTCCTCTATCAATTAATATTATGCAACACTACGGTGATTTATAATGCCGTGATTCACTTTTATGACTTCCAATGAGAAAAACAAAGCGTTTTATATATCTACACTTTTTTTTTGATTGTTATAAATTTATATGAAATTCACACGATTTATTCCTTCAATTCGATGTAATTTAATATTAATATTATTCAAATAACAGTTTGCGTTTTTCCTGTAACTGCAGGCTGAGGACCTCCTGGACGACATTCTGTCGTTCGAGGCTGGTTCTTTGGGTGATGGATTGAAGGACGGCCAAGCCGGAAGTCTTACGAATATACCAGAGCTTCAAATTAAACCGGAACCTCTCTTGCTCACCGAGGCAGAGATCCATGCCCTCGCGAAAGATCGACAGAAAAAGGATAACCACAATATGAGTAAGTCGATAACCACTCTGTTTGATTAAGTTACAAAAAATTCATGCGTAGCATTTTTTAAATTTAATTTTTTAATTATTAAGCTGGTATAGATGGTTTAATAAGATATTAGTTTTTTAATATACGTGATATAATAACATTTTCAAAGTTGCGTTCTGACATTTATTAGAAATTGGTTTATGGAATTTAATTAATATTACATAGATGATAATAATTTTTTGAAATTAAACGAAATCTTATACAGCAGATCTTCTGAATTAATAGAATATTCAAACAATTAAATACGTAAGTTTTGATATTAATTTCTCAATATTATTATTACAGATATATTTATGTGAACACATGTAGATTGTGTTTTTTTTTGTTGAAGAAGGTGCATTTGCATTATTATACTCAGAATTTTGTACTCGAAGTTTATTTTGTGTCTCAAACATATGGTTTCCGTAATGAAATTGAAGTTTTAATCTTCGTACAATGTCGCTTTTAAATTGTCGTTCGATCGATAAGTTGTAAGCAAGTGCTTGTTTGTCCATGTAGAAATAATTGATAAGCACCAACCTGTAATTTACACTTCAATAGTGGTAATCGGCGGTACCACGACGTCGTTATTGTTACCGATGTATTTATCACACTTACGCCAATACATGCGTTACTCGCGACGTAAGTAAAGTATTTAAATGACAATAGAAAACTGTTTCCATGCCCCGCGTCGTTGACTGTCTATTATCATCAGATAAGTCAAACACTAGTTTAATTAACGACATTTATGTATGTCGTTAATTAAACTAGTGTTTGACTTATTTGTCAATGCAAATAACCGGCGGACCAAATATATCTCCACGTTTTGCGTGAATTTGAGGAAAAAATTTTCATTGTTTTCTAAATTTAACAAAAGAGATGATTTTTACAAATAATTTCTTATATGAATAGAGAGAATGATTTCGAGTATAATAATCAAGATTTTACTTATTTCACTCGTCTTTATTATTTTTTCTTAATTTGCTAAATTTAATGATACAAAGTAACTAAGATAAAACATTGCTTAATAGATGTACACGTGTGTAACCCAGTATTCTTTTCAAGAATATTTGCAATGCGTACGATAATGATATTCTAAACTCACTTTATACATTCATACGTTATATGTTATAATTGCATATTCTTAATATAATAAAACGCACGATAAAAATGGTTTTAAAAAATTTCAATTTAGACGTAGATTTCTTACGAATATATGATCAGTCTTTGTCGTGAAAAAGTGTTAAATGTTGAAAATCAATAGAATCGAATATCGCCATTACGAGGGATTCTCATTAAGGTGACGAAATGGATTATTCTCCATGCGGCGTATGTAACAAGCGACTAAACAATTTTCGAGCGGCGATATCCGAACAGTGCCACGCTTTTACTGGGGCGCCATCGGTTCCTGTTTTACGATGCGATACACGTTACGTGCCGAATCGCGCGATTGTGTTCACGCGAGTTGCGCGACGATTCCGTGAATTTGTCGGAGTAATCAGTGAGTTTCAATTATCTCGCCTTGTTTTTTCCAGCGCGGTGTAGATGGAACTTGGCTTCATGCGCTTCGAATTTTTCGAGCCGCGTGAAAATGCATACGTATTTTATACATATTTTATTACATTTCGATTTGTAATCTCACCAGGTAATATACACAATTACCTCTCTCTTCCACCTTCCCTGATTTTAATGAACGGACTATTCTATTCCGCGTGGTTTTTTTTTCTTTGAGATGTAATCTGCTGTTTTTTTTTTTCCATGATTCGCCGTTGTCTCTCGTGATTAAGGCGTCGCTAAAATTGTAAAAAATAGGCACGACACTCGCGAACGAAACAAGCGGAAATCGAGGGCTGTACCGAGGGTAGTATCGGGAAGAACCGGAGCATCCAATTTCCGAAACAATCGCGGACGTAATGAAAGTCCAGTTGGCCGGCGGCGCGGAACGGAGAAATCGGGATCGAATTTGTAAGAGAGAATGGAGGAATAACGACCGCAGAGCACGCTGGGACATCGGAAATAAAATAGGAATTCTGTAAAAATAGTCGTGCGTCGCGCCGCTAATTCGTCCCCTTTTTGTCTCGCCACTTATCGACTACTATTGTGCATCCCTGTGAGGTTGCATTGTTGGTTGCACGGCGACTACGTGTATGTATGTGGAAAGACAAAAGAGCTGCTCATTCGAGAAATGCGTCTTTTCCCGCGCGATCGATATGCACACAATACATCGATTTACGAATCTGTCTTTTCTTTTACTAATTTATATAATAAATTTCTCTTTTTAATTATCTTTATGTTCCTTTAATTCTTTCTATTATCTAAAACATTTCGTTTTCGCTTGTACGTTCGAGAGATTTGATTATCTTAAACCTTTTTACAAATTAAATAAAAATGGAATTTAAAAAAATGGATTTTAAATCTAATGAATTAGTTAATTAATATTCAAATAGTTCTAATTATAATTTTTATATAATTTTGGTATATTTCAAAGAATTAGGAATAATGATATGTATGAAGTTATTCGAGAAATTCTGATTTTCATAATACGAAATAGAGAGTGAATCATTATTTAACCGTACGTAACATTTATAGTACTCCCCAGGGAAAGAGTTTGCATTCTCTTTTGTAGGGAAACTTAAGCTCAGGCCGACGCTTTTCTTTAATCTTTGCCCGTATCTAGCGGATAATTCCTTCCCGGAAACTGGGCTTAGCTGATTGATGAGACTCGTCGTCGTCGATTAGGAAGGCGTACCCCTTGAAAAGCATAGGTTCGCGCATCTTCTCGACAGAATCGGGTAGCCCCGATCTTCGTCGTTTGTCCTGGCCCCATCCTCATTGACTTTCCAGTCTGCCTCACGCTTCTCCGAATTAACCATTGTAATCTAATCAGTCAGCAAGATTAGAAGAAATTTCCTCCCGTTTCTCTCATCGAGACTCATTGCTCTCTCTATCATTTCTCGGTTCTCCCTTTCTTTCTCTCTCTTGAAGTGAATTTGAGAAAATAAGTTACAACTTCCTCAAAGTTCTCAAGACTGCTCTTTCATCTCTTTGCGCGTGCGACGAATCTGCTCGATCTTGTATCTCGTTCTTTGTAGCCCTGTTTTATCGCGCTATTTACAAATATTTGTCTCTGTATGAATCAGCAATTTGTAAGATTTGACGTAGATGTGTGAAGCACTTTGAAGTGCTCCAGAACTGACTGTGGATTTTATTTAGAACCAATATTTTTATATAAATATATTTGGCTTCCATAAAGTCGAAACATTTTCTTATATTCTAAAAATTTTATTTTGGAGAAATCTTTTTTAATTTACTGCTCTCTCTGTATGTCAAAGACTAAATTTTAGAAATTAAAGTTCTAGTACAATTTCTTCTTCTCTTATGTATTTGTTTTTCACACACAAGGAGTTATATTTTATCTCGGGCAAATAACGAAGAATACAAAGAGAAATCCCAAGAATTGAGTTTACCAAGATTTATTATAATTAATACGTATAATATTATGTATCGTATAACAAACAGGAAATTAATTTATTATCAAGTTTTTTAGCGCATTATTAAGAAAAAAAAAATTTGTTTGTTTTTCATTAACTTCTGCTTCCGATATGCGATTCTTATCGCATCCGGAGTCGATTAATTTCAATAGAGATAAGATCTGTTTATCGACTAACTGACGGATGAAAAAAGTGAAAGAAATTTAATCGAGCTCCATATCTTTCATTTTTATCGAATTAATTTTGACATAAAAAATTTTCCGCTTCGTTTTCATCACTTGAGAAGAGATATCTATGTCCGAGACGCATTTTGACAAATTCACTTCTCTAGTAGCGAGTTACCGGCCTCGCGATCGCGATATCGGAACTGTTCACTGATAGCGCGCCAAACAGCTTGACCTTTCGCATCTCTGTTCGAGAGATACCTGGCTGGAATAATCGATCGGGAATGGGGTCACGTGCCAGCGATAGGGCGACCCGGTTCGTAGTCTTTTCCGCAGGGGAGATACGCCATATCCTCCGGAAAGCGCGATATGCTTTCCCGAATAACTTCGATACGAGACGACGATACTTCGGGTATATATAGAGAGACGGGGCGATTTGGCCCTCGACAATTTGCACGCGCGTTCAAGACGACAACCGATGTAATTTATTACGATCGAGCGATCGAAGGCTATCGCGTTTGCTCCCAATCGTATCAAGTGGTTGTAAACTTGGAGGAGAATATTGTAATAGCCCGCGAGCATAGGTAAATCTATCTACGGGATCTCATCTTGGCGTTTAAAGAAATATAGATGAAATTTATATCTTTCTTCTCTTTTCCTCTTTAGAAATGTAACCGAAAAAATGGACGGAGGCATTGTGATTGTATCAAGCCACCAAATTTTATTATTCCATAATTTTGTTACAATTCTTTACAACATATTATCAACATAGAAATGTTTTATTTTCAATTTCATGAAAATTATCGATTGTCTCGATTTGGATCTAATAAGATTTTTCATCTCATATTTAAACAACCATGTAAGCTAGTTCTTTAAACGATGAATAGTCTTGGAGTGGAAAACACATATCGTTCAAAAATGAATCGTTCTGTATGAAGTCGCCAATCCGGTCACGCGATTTAGCAGGCGAATTAACAAACGGCACGATCTATCTATTGCATCTGTCGCGAGCGAGCCATGATTGATGTGCACAATTTCCGTTTTCAGTTGAACGACGGCGACGTTTCAACATCAACGACAGGATCAAGGAGCTCGGCACCCTTCTGCCCAAGACCAATGACCCGTGAGTACGAATCTCTTTTCTTCCATTGCTTCTCCTCTTCTTCTTCTCCGCTTCGTTCTTTCCTTGTCTCACGTCACACGCTTGCCTTTTCCTCCTTCCTCTTCTCACCCATTGCCACTCCATTTCTCGTAGTCCTCTTATTCTTCGCTTTTGCCTTTTGCACATTCCCCACGGACCATTATTTCCTGTTCGTGACCCCTTACGACGAGTTAGTCCAGGTCAGGTGCTCGAGACGAGAGGCTTTCACCGGAAGTCCATTCTTCGCCCCTTCCACTCTTCTTTCCTTCGCTTTCCTTCCTCTCTCGCTAGCCCTCCATGGCTGCTCGCTCTTCCTTCCTTTACTTCAGCTTTGTTTCCCGTTCTCCCTGTGCAAAGCGCAACGCTTTCTCGTTTAGGATGTCCTTCAACCTAGCGAATGAAGGCAAATGCGAGGAAAGAATGACGCTATGCACCGGAAATACGAGGAGACGAGATTAGAAAAGATTAATTTTATTTATTTCTCGTATTATCATATTTTCTGATAAGTCCGATTATATTCTAAATACATTATTTTACAAAATTGATCTTTTGTAGCGTAATATGTATTTTTTTATACAACTGAAAAGATTTCCTTTGATATATACCTAGATTAAAAAAATATAATTAAAAAATTTTCTTTGAATATATTATAACAATGGAATTTATTACAACGCTTCGGGAATTTTTATTTAAATTGTGGATTTCCATTAATGCTGAATAAAATAAATCATAATTTACGTACGGTATTTTAACATTTAATGGTATATTATATAACACTAAAACTTCAATTCGTTTTACAATGTTGATTTATCATGACAAGAGATAAGTTTTAATATACGCGATTATTCAATGTTTAATTATCCACTATTATATCATATTATAGTACCATAAAAGCCTTATCTATACTATTCGACATTTATATCTAGAGTTATTTATTCAGCTGTAAAATCCTCAATTTGCTAAGTCCCATTAACATACTTTGTTTCTTCTAGTTCATTATATCAATCGTAATATATATCGACAAATAGAGCTTAAATAAGCTCTAAATGGGACTTAGCAAATT